GAATACAGCTACAGGTTGGTTTTTTTTTTTTTTTTTTGTGTTTTTTGGATACATTGATTATGATAGTTTTATTCTGTAATTTGCACTGCAATATTTATTGTATGTATCTAAGTTTGGCGGTGAATGGTTTATCATTGGCAATGATATATCTGTAGAAGAAAAGGAGAGATCACTGGTTTTTTATGACATCAAATAGGAATCAAAATAAAATTAAAAATAAGAAGATTTTTTTATTTTTTTTTATTTTTAAGATTGATGGAAAAAAAGGACTATATATTTCATGAAGGGGAGGGAACTGTTCTTGTGAATGCAATTGCAGCTGCAGGTGCTCTCACACAATTATTTAAATCAATTACCTTCTTTTGTCAGCCGGTCAAGATCTCCTCCAAGAAGAGAGCGAATTGTTAATTCGCGTGAAGAGAAGCGAGCCAGGAGCTACAGTAGACGACCGGTGCCAAAGAGGGCTACTACACCTCCCTCCAAAACAAGGAAGCACAGCCCAACACCTGAGGAGGAGGACATTGTCAGAGAGAGGGATAATACCCCTTCTCCTAAGAGAGGGAGACCGGAAACTAAGCAGGACAGGTCAGATTACAGTGAGAACCCCAGAGAAAATAGCAGAAGCCCTGTAAGGGAAAGTCCTGCTGCTGAGAGGTATCAGAGTCCTTCTGAAGCTAATTGCCGCAGCCCTACCGCTAGTCCTCGCAATGACAGAAGCCCTGTTGATGACGATGATAATCATCAATCCCCAAGAGGGAGCGAGTCGCCTTAATTTGCCAAAAAAAAAAAGAGAAAATGGTGTTGGAAGGAAAATAGGTATCATGCCCAAGACTAGCATGAATACAAAAACAGCCATGGCATTGGGTTTCGTTTTGAACCTCCTCGGGAGGCACAACAGTTGGCTGACAAAAACAAACAGAAGGCCGTCAACTCTGGCCCTGGTCCTGTGCCAGCTCACTTACATACATAATATAAACTGTGAGCGAAAGCTCAGTGAATAATAATAGAGTAAAGGGTTTCAATGAATGAGTTCATACAGATTCATAAATCATAATTCAGATTTGTATCAAATTCATCATTTGTCCAGATCATATACAGACAGAAATAATAAGGCCCCGTTTGGGGAATGACTTTTTTAGCCAATTAGCCAAAAAGTTATTAAATTAGCCAAAAAGCCAACACCTCATACGAAAAAGTCAAAGATTCTCTTTTCTCTCTACTTTTTGCACATCTTTTCGGAATTAGCTAAAAAGTCATCCCAAACATACAAGTTTTTTTTACCTACCTTTTTAGCCAAATAGCCAAAAAGTTACTAAATTAGCATGTTCCCAAACAAGGCCTAAGTCATGATTAAGTTTACGTGATAAATCCATTAACATTAACAAAACAGAACAAAACAGAACGTATACACGTGAGGTTACGAATAACCAGTTCCATAAAGGCACCTCCGGATCCGGGTAACAGAACAGAAGCTGAGCCCTCGTGACAGGGCCTTCGGTACGGGTAACAGAGTGCAGACAGAAATAAATTCCATAAAGGAACCTCCGATACCGGGTAACAGCTAACAGATATCACATGATGCTAACGATGTCACGAATACATATCAGAAATTGAACAATCATTCATTGTACAGAACATATCATTTCGGAAAACAGATCTTGTTTTGTCACACAGAAAGTAGATACAGTTTGAACATAACTTTACTAAATTATTACTCACAGTTGGCCTTGAGACAAACAGACGGAGCAGATTAGTCAGATAAAACACGGCACGTGACCTACATAACACATAACAAATACACACTTGAAACACACGTTCTAATTGTACAAAACTTACGTCGTTGGCTCTTAGTGTGTTTCTAACCTTCAATCCTCATTAAAGCGCCTTAAACATGGCCTACGAAAGCCTAAGATGGAATGAGGATGCAAACATGCCTTGAAAACCATTTCTTAAATTTTGCTGAAAATAAGGTCCACGCTCGAGCGTGGATTACCCCGCTCGAGCCGACAAGCAAATGTTGAAGCTCCGCTCGAGCGTGAACTTCCTCGCTCGAGCAGACTGTAAAATCAACAAAAGTATTGGATGCATGATTTTCACACTCGACAGGCGCTCGACCCTCGCTCGAGCGTGAGACTCAGAGTCTCGCTCGAGCGTGGATTCCTCCGCTCGAGCGGACTGCAAAAGACACAAACTTCTGGATATACGCATTTCACGCTCGAGCGTAACTATAGACGCTCGAGCGGAAGTGTATGTACACAGGATTCACGGTCAAGCGTGAAAGTACCCGCTCGAGCGTGAGTCAAACTTCTGGAAAATCCAGATTGACCTCCAAGCATGAAACTTGACCTTTAAGCCTTCAAAGCTCATTTTTCTAGGCCAATATTTGAGAAAACATAAAATAACTCATAAAACAACATGTATTAAAATTATTTCAAGAAATCATGGCCCAAGAGCAACCCAATTTGTGCAAAATCAACATGAACTCTTAGAACATGCTATTAATACGACATGCAAGAATCTCATTTTAAATCCAATGCTCTAAAACATGATCAAATGTAAGATTGAGCTCAAAATCATGATAAATTCATGGACTAAAGGCTAGAATATGGGCTTGCATGCAAGAACTTCCATGAAGACACTTCAAAATGCTAAGATATGAACATGTATACATGATTCATGCCTCAATTCAACATTTTTAACCAATTCTTGACTTTAAACTCTAATCTTCCATGAGCCATGCAAGAATTAATCTTAAATTCACAATGGAGAAGGTGAAATCTCTACCTTAGGTCTTGAATTCTAAGTGTAAAAGCTCAAATCTTCCAAGTTTCCTTCAAATCTCCAAAGATCAAGCAAAATTCTTGTTGAATCAATTTTCTCCTACTCTTCTCCCACTCTCATTGTTTGGTCTGAGATATGGATGAAGAAATGATGCCTCAAGGGTGTGAATTAAGTCCCACACAAGTTTGTAAAGGTGGCCCACTAAGTGGCAAACATGTAAATACTCAACTAATGTGACTTAGCATTATTTAACCGAATTTAATCATACCAAATCAAATTCCAACTAAATTTACCATAAAATCACATTAATTTTAATTAATACAAAACACTAATCAGTTTCGGATTCGGCCGCCGATAAGGCCTTCAATTTGCAGTTTAAAACATAAAACATGAATAGATCATTTTATGGCAAACAGACAAAAACACAAAGATAATGCAATACATATGCAATTTAATTCCGGATTCCTTCTAAATTACTGTTAGGCATAAATAATCATGGTTTAGCATTAATCAGAGGTCGGGGTTATTACAATCTTCCCCCCTTAAAAGAGTTTGGTCCTCCAAACTCGAATTAGCTTCATTCAAAATCAACATTGGGTCCAATGGGAACAAATCCGGATATCTCTTCATCATGTCTTCCTCGGTTTCCTAAGTTGCATAGGTTCCTTCGTGGTTTTGCCAATTAACTTTTATCAACGGTATTTCTTTATTTCTCAACTTTTTGATCCGGCGATTCACAATCTAGATAGGTCTTTTCTCATAAGTGTAGTCATCTTTCAAAAGCACATGTGTCAGTTCGATGACGTGGAGTGGATCCCTCAAATATTCTCGTAGCATCGATACATGAAAGACGTTATGCATGTGTTTCATTACTGGAGGTAAGGCTACCCGATACGATACCGGATTGATCTTTTCGAGAACTTCATAAGGTCCAACATATCTTGGCGCCAATTTTCCCTTAACACCAAACCGAGTTTGACCCTTCATTGGGGTCACCTTTATGAACACGTGGTCCCCAACTTCATATTCCCTCTCTCTTCTTCGAACATCGGCAGAGCTCTTCTGCCGACTCTGTGCAGTTTTCAGACGCTGCTGTATCAATTTCACTTTCTTGGTTATTTCTTGCACAAGTTTCGGTCCCAATAAAGGTTTATCACCTACTTCAGTCAAACATATTGGAGAATGACATTTTCTTCCATACAAAGCTTCGTAAGGAGCCATTCCAATGCTTAAATGGTAACTGTTGTTGTACACAAATTCAGCTAATGGCAAGTAGATCTCCCAATTCCCTTGGAAGTCTAACACACACATTCTGAGCATATCCTCCAGAGTTTGGTTCATTCGTTCAGTTTGGCCTTCTGTCTGTGGGTGATAGGCACTGCTCAGTCTCAATTCAGTCCCCAAAGCCTGTTGCAAACTTTGCCAGAATCTCGATACAAACTTTGAGTCCCTGTCAGACACAATAGATACTGGCACTCCATGCAATCTCACAATTTCAGTCATATAGATATTGGTCAATTTATCAGTGTTATAAATAGTTTTGACAGACAGAAAATGGACAGACTTAGTTAAACGGTCAACTATAACCCAGATAGAGTCCATACCTCGATAAGAACGAGGCAATCCCACAATGAAGTCCATGGTAATGTGCTCCCATTTTCATTCCGGTATTGGGAGTGGTTGTAACAAACCAACAGGTCGTTAGTGTTTAGCTTTAACCTGTTGGCAATGTAGACATCTAGCCACGAAATCGGCAATACTCTTTTTCATTCCAGGCCACCAAAAATTATGTTTCAAATTATGACACATCTTCGTGTTCCCCGGATGCATAGCAAATTTACTACTGTGAGCTTCGGTCATAACACGTTTCTTCAAATCAAAACCATCAGGCACACAAAGACGGTTTTGAAATTTCAGCACATCATTCTCAAACACAAATCCTGGCCTCGGCTTTAAACCAAATTCCTCTGTGATCTTTTTCAAGTATTCGTCCTCGCACTGTTTCTATTTGATCTCGTCAAGAATTGTAGAGTAAAGGGTTTTAATGAATGAGTTCGTACAGATTCAAAAATCATAATTCAGAATTGTATCAAATTCATCATTTGTCCAGATCATATACAGATAGAAATCATAAGTCATGATTAAGTTTACATGATACATCCATTAGCATTAACAGAACAGAACAGAACAGAACAGAACGTATACACGTGGGGTTACAAATAACCAGTTCCACAAAGAAATCTCCGGATCCAGGTAACAGAACAGAAGCTGAGCCCTCGTGACAGGGCCTCTGGTACGGGTAACAGAGTGTAGACAGAAATAAGTTCCATAAAGGAACCTTTGATATCGGATAACAGCTAACAGCTATCACATGATGCTATCGATGTCACGAATACATATCAGAAATTGAACAATCATTCATTGTACAGAACATATCATTTCGAAAAACAAATCTTATTTTATCACACAGAAAGTAGATACAGTTTGAACAAAACTTTACTAAATTATTACTCACAGTTGGCCTTGAGACAAGTAGACGGAGCAGATTAGTCAGACAGAACGCGGCACGTGACCTACATAACACATAACAGATACACACTTGAAACACACGTTCTAATTGTACAAAACTTACGTTGTTGGCTCTTAGTGTGTTTCTAACCTTTAATTCCCATTAAAGGGCCTTAAACATGGCCTACGAATGCCTAGGATGGAATGAGGATGCAAACATGCCTTGAAAACCATTTCTTAAATTTTGCTGAAAATAAGGTCCACGCTCGAGCGTGGATTACCCTGCTCGAGTGGACATGCAGATGTTGAAGCTCCGCTCGAGCGTGGACTTCCTCGCTCGAGCGGACTGTAAAATCGACAAAAGTACTGGATGCATGATTTTCAAGCTCGACGGGCGCTCGACCCCGCTCGAGCGTGAGACTCAGAGTCTCGCTCGAGCATGGATTCCTCCGCTTGAGCGGATTGCAAAACACACAAACTTCTGAGTATACGCATTTCACACTCGAGCGTAACTATAGACGCTC